TCCCTCTGGATTTTATTTTACGGGTCACGCAATTTCGCTTGTTATTTTAATGTAAGTTAAAAGAAAAATTATATTAGGTTTATGACATATTGGTTTATCTTGTTTTATTTAAATAAGATAAACACATGTTAATTGTTTGTAACTGTTTTGTTTACATTTCAATGTTTACTTTAATCCTAAGTTAAATTTATATTGTTAGACTGTGGTTAAAGTTAGTTTATCAATGGAAGTAACAGTTTTGCTATATTTGTTTTGAGCAAGGGTCAAAGACCACGTCGTAATATTGGTCGTCGCACCAATAATGCAAATATTGTAAGAGAGTGGCGTCGTGAACAAGAAGAACCAGATGAAGCAGTGGCGGAAGAAGCTGATAATGATAGGCAGTTAGCTAATCAATTCCAACATGAATTAGATGCACTACAATTTTATACTTGCACTAACTGTCATCGCCAACAACTAACAGCTTCAAACCAATCACTGATTTGTTCGCGTTGTCGTTCAAATGCAACTAAATTCATGGCGTTAAATAATATGGATGTGTCAAGTGTCCCGAACGAATTAACTGACCTGACGATTGTAGAACAAATAATGTTGATTGCACGAGTACATCCTGCTATGCCCATTTACAAAGTACAAGCAAATAGTCAGGATTGCCAGTTTCACTACAAAGGTACAGTATGAACTATCAGATAAATTTGTCATCCTTTAGAACTTATATAATATCGGGCAAACAAACGGCGAATCTGTTGAATGGGAACATATTGTAGGGTGTTAGCTGCATTAGCCATTGACAATCTTTAAAAAATGCTTCGCTCATTTATGCGTCTAAAGTGTAACGGCAGACCACCCTAGTTACTTGTAATACAAATACAGCTGACTTAAGTCTTTTTGATATATTTTTAGTGTGAGTTTGTCAATTTAAATGTGAGTCTATTTTTATTCCTAAATAATCAACTGAATCTTGAGAAACTATCAAATTTGAGTTTGAATTTAGGGTGATCTCGTCTTTTATATTGGAGGCAGAGAATTGTATCAGCTGTGTTTTGGATACATTCATGGAGAGACCGTTGACAGTAAACCAGTCCTCAAGAGAATGGAGCCCTCTGGTGATTGTGTGAATAATGTTGACACCTTTTTGCTCTTTGCAAATGATTGCTGTGTCATCTGCATACTGAAATATTGGCATTTTTGATACAATTCCTAGGTCGTTTACTAATAAAATGAATAGACATGGTCCAAGAATTGATCCTTGAGACACTCCAAATGGAACATCCTCCCAATCTGACATGTAATTGTTTTGAAATTTGTTTATTATTATCCTTTGTTTACGGTTTTTCAGATAAGAAGCAAACCATTGTAATGCTATATTTTTTATTCCATGTCTACATAATTTTTCAAGAAGTATTCCATGATCAACATAGTCAAAGGCCTTGGACAAGTCACACAGCACTCCCACAGTCTGCTGTGCTGCATCCAAGGCCCCAGCAATATTGTTGATCATGTCGGTTACTGCTTTTTGAGTGTTAAGGTTAGGCCGGAATCCAAATTGAGAGGGGTAATTAGATTATTATTTTCTAAATTGTACTAGTTGGTTTTTGACAATTTTTTCAAAACATTTTGAAAAGCAAGGTAGCAACGCAACTGGACGATAATTAGAGGGATTATTAACATCACCTTTCTTAAATAAAGGTTTTACTTCTGCATATTTGAGTTTGTCTGGAAATACACCCTTCTCCAGGGACTGGTTTACTATTCTGCAGAATAAGTCCTCAAAGACATAAAAAACACGTTTTATCACAAAAAGAGGGATTTCATCCCACCCTGATGACCTTGTGTTACAAATGGTATTCAAAACTTTCTTAACTTCCGCAACACAGACTGTCCTAAAGTTAAATCTTGCATTATTAAGATGAGAAATGTGTTTACTATTTTTCTCAAATAAGTTAATTGCTTGGATTTTATTTGAATATTGATTTGCGGGATATGAGGCATTTACAAAAAAAATTTAAATTGTTTGCAATTGATACAATATTACTGATTTTGGCATTTTCACTGTTTGTAACTTAAATAGGTATTTCTGAAAATTGTTTTTTTAAGTAATTTTTTTACAACGGCCCATGATGCTTTAGATTTATTTTTAGATTTTTTAATGACAGGAGCAAACTATTACAGTACAATTAGTACAAAAGAAATATACATTCCTATAAGTGCTATTAAGCATTGGTTATATAAATAATACACTTGGGGTGTAAGATTATTAATAAGCAACGAGTTAATTCACAGCCACCTTTAACTCCAGGCCGCATCCTCTGGTAGAATCATACAGCATTTTAGGTTACTTAATCTACTTACACCCAAACAACCTCATCACAGCAGTATTTATATCATGAAATGAAATGAAATAAACTTTATTCATACTTTGCAAACATGTGCACGAATGGCGTCATTACACTGGATCAAAATCATAATGCTTAATACCAAAAAAGTACAAGATATATGCATCCTTTAACATAACCAACAATTAAAACAGAATTGTTTACATTTAAACAATTGTTATAACAATCAAAGTTAAACATGTAAGTTTAATTATACAAAATTCTCCTAGTAGTTGCACCGTATCAGAGTGAAAAGAATAAATTGTTGTTGGAATAAATGTTTGTAGTTTTTTGTCCTTCATACGTTACCAAACCGGCCGACCGATCGTAAAGAAACTTTGGGGAGTGGTTCCATACCAAAGGTTTCTGTTGAAATTTTGGAAAACTTCTCAGGGCTATGAGTTTAGTGGTTTGGTCTTTAAAGTACCCATGTTATCCGTATAGATAAATTATTTGTTTACATTTCAACAGCTGAATACTTTTCAATTGAGGAGTAGGGTGGAAAAACAGCCTCAGTCTGAAATTTGAGTTTTGAGTAAACTGAGGTTGAAGTTTTATGCTTGCTTTTGTTAATATTTGTCAGAAAATCCAATTCCTCAGTCCATTCTACTTCTATCAAGCAACTTATGTAGCTTACAGCTGTATATATATATATAAAAAGAGTAAAATAATGAATTGGCTTAGAAAGGCGAAATAATAAGTACACCTCAGAGGTTGTTTTTCCATAACAGTATCTTGAGTTATCTTGAGTATAATTAGTAATAAAACATAACATTTAAATGGTTTTAATTAAATAATAATAATTAATTATAGTAACAAATCACAATTACTTAAAATTTGACTACTTAAAAATGACAAAATGACTTGGTGTATGCCTATAAAAATACATCGGCAATACCACTTCTTTCACTTATGGTTTTAACTTGAAATATTAACAAATAAATTAAATAAACTGTTGGGGTCAACATTATTTTCAGTATTTTTTTATTTTTTATCAGCTGTACAGACAGCGCCAACTCGCACAGTTTGTCAGAGACAGCTCTGCGACTCAATTATCGCTCCAGGATTGGTATCCATTGAAACCAATCTAGATGCGCACACATACGACTATATTGTTGGTCAGTCTCAGTCGGCTACTCATGTGAACTTGAGTTGACAACAAAACATGTTTGCTCTTTGGATTAAATTGTTGTGTAAAGTTCGTTTGGAAAAGTAAATTTTCAAGTATGAGTGTGCTTGTTGAGGACGTTGAACAATAATTGATGAAGTTGAGAAGAACCTTTATGTTTAAATTTAAATGCATTGACAGTCTATTCTGATATTTAATCTGAAGAAGAAGTTGTGGGAGGAAAGTATCCTTGGCAGTTAATAACATAGTACATACTATTTTTGTATCATTTAAAAAAATTCTGTAATGTCCAATTCGTGTCTTAAAACAGTTGCCTGTGTGCACACTTTAGCGCAACTGTCACTAGACTTCAGAGTCTTATAGTGAGTTGAGCAACAGTCCCCCTTAATAAATTGGGCAACTGTTGCTAGACTCAAAATCGCCTGTGTGACCCCCAAGGCCACACTATAGAGTGTGGCTTTGGGCTAGACCAGTCCTTTGAGGTGAACATGTGCCGCCTGATGCTGCCCTTCCAACCCCGCCACCATGTGATGTTGCATCGGAAGCTACCGCCATTATTAAGACGTGCATTTACACTCGATGTTTTCTTTCGTTAACAACGTTTTTACATAGAAATAGTGTATTGTTTGAGTTTGGTTATGATATTATTAACATGTAAGAGTAGTTTGATATTATAAAGGTTCAAGATTTTTTTTACATGGTGGGCTGCAGGGTATTGTATGATTGTATGGTTATTGTGTATTTGTGGCGCGGAATAGGATAACTAATCTCCCTCCCTGATTCCGTGCATGACTCATCACAGCTTACAATCGCTTTTTGAGCACTATTTCATAACCACTGAGAGTACGGACTTTCTTGAGATCCTGCATGGAGAAGAAAATTGGAAAAGAAATACTAAATTAAACTCCCATAAGAAATGTTCATGGAGGAAGTTTCGTTGGTGTATAACTCAAATTATACGCCAGATAAACGAATGCCGATGCTTGATGGCAAATCTGTGCGTGTAGGCCTATGACTTTAATTTTATACCAAAATTATGAAAATTGGGCTGTTGAAAGAGCCGAGCCGACTCGTATAACTAAGAAGAGAAAACCTAATTATTTTGTATAGGCCTATATAGATCACAATAATCTATTTCTTAACTAACAGTTGTAAACTTCTAATGATTTATCTTTGTAAAAAAATATCAAGCTACTTCAAACACTCTAAAAATAATGAAATGATCTTTTTGTAATATTCAAGCTCACGTATTTGAAGTCGGGCTCTATGATAATTTTTGACATAACATACTGAAAATTTAAAGAGCATGTCCACATTGCAGGCGATTATCTATAACTAAAGGTGTTAATCTTCATTTTTTCAGAGTTTTGCGTTCGGAGTTATTTTATCATTGTAACCCATCATTGGCAGATAACTTTATACAGGTTTTTTTAAATAAGATAATAAATTATAATTTTATAGTGGTATAACAAGTATGTTTTAAACAATGATAATGCATTTAAATGTTTTTAATTTGCAAAAGTAACATTTTAATATTAAACTAGCTTCTTTTCCCTATCATAACAATCTGTTTCTTGTTCTAATAGAAAATTTGTGTGTGATAAGTTGCATAATGCATTAATTCAGAAGTAAATATAAAATACAAGTAAATACTTCCTTGGTATCCAAACAAAACAGTGCATATGTTTTTTTATATATTTATATCCTGCTATGTTTTATTGATTTTAATTCTTTTAGAGCGTTTGAAATAGGTTGTTTTTTTTACAAAAAAATTTGATACATATTTTTTACCGGTACTTAAAGGCTTTTTAAAAGAAAAATTGTTTGGACCGATCAAAAATGTTACCGTACGGAACAATTATTATTTTAAAACTGCCTGAGTCACCTGTTCAGGTTACATAATTTATGGTTATAAAAATTAATATTTTTTATGTTTTGGTAAAACAGGTGATGAATTGGAATTGCAAGAAATGAAACCTTTTGCATCTAAAAATGCTTTTTGTAAACTGACGTAGCCTAAAAGTTTTATGTCTTAAAAATCAATAGGAAATAAGTGTATTGTTCGATCGTAATAATTTTTCCATTGATATACTATAATTTTCTTTTTAAGATGTTTATTTTATAGTGTTGATAAAATATAGAATACAATTTCAATACTCAAAACGGAACTTTACAAAATGCAGGTCAAACGTTGAAGTATCTTACTCATAGTAACTAAAACAAAACGCCTAGTAAATGCAAAGTCAGTTATTTAGGCTCCATGGCAAGACATGGTTTAATAATCCATATTAAACAACTTTTTCATGAAGATCTGTCTGTAGCTTCATGGTTTCAACTAACAGTTGTCGGAATATCATTCTTATTTATTGCTTTCTCTGTACAAATATAAACAAAATAAATGTTGTATATTTGAGGTTTTCAGCATTTTTCTCTGGAACAAATATTTACACTTAAACATAATGTTATATATGGTACCAAAGGGTAGCCCTCCTGGTTATTTTGGGGGTGGAACCACGATGATCGGTATAAAAATCTCAGAGAAATTGGGGAACATTTATAGAAAAAGATACATTGGCACAAACGAATTGAGAACCTTATTCTTTTGTTGGTAGTGGGGAAGTCGGCTCAAAATACCCACAAGTAACAGATACAATAGATGGCTATTCAAATAAAAAAACAATTAATTATCAACATCGCATTAATTAAACTAGAACAATCGCAATAAAACAACTGATGATACAAATACTGAAATACAGTTAGAGGAGGCTCCGTGGCTCTACACGTACAAATCACGCTGTAGGGAGTAAAGCTGAGTGTGAGTGTCGTGTGTGTGCCAGGGTGTGTGCTGGCAATGTGCTGGCGCCAACGAGCACGCTGGCGCGCGGGGCGTGCGTACGCGCGTGTGACAGCTATAACGCGGTAAGAGTGTGTGGTTGTACGGCGAGAGCTCTAGCGCTCCTAGCCTGACCAGTGACTGTACAGAACTACGTGGGCCAGCAACTTCGCCGTACAAGCAGCTCGAACATACCAAGCCCTATCCGGCGGAGAATCTACTAAGGGAGTATGTTTAATCTATGCCCAAACTCTGATGGATCTTAAAGGATGCCATTAACCTAAATGTGGCAGAAAAAAATTGTTTGGTGGCCGTGACATATTGGGACGTGTAATGGAAGAATTTAAGAAAATGATTCAAACCTACGTGAATCAAAGTGGACTTGCCTGATATTTTTTCTAAAATTAAACAAAGAGTATCTGACATGGGAGCCTATTACAAGGGCAGTTATTTAAGTAAGGACTGTTTATGCGTACGCATCCGTAGTTCGCTTGTAACCCGCAACAAGGCTCCTCAGGCACTTACAGCCATAATTTATGAACAATATGACATAACTTTCAGCTCTGTAGATGACATAATATGCTTTACTGTGCGTTTTTTAAATGTTTTTCATCATCGAAACTCCCCCTGCTTAAAATCTTGGGTGTGAATTGATGTATGTTTCTTCATAAATATTTTTAGTTGCAAATGATTTTCCACATGTATTGCTCCTATGTGAATTAATGTATGTCTCTTCATATCGCTACTGGTTTGGAAGGATTTTCCACATATAGTACACTTATGAGGTCTCTCTCCAGTGTGCACTAATGTATGTTTCTTCATATCGCTACTGGTTTGGAAGTATTTTCCACATATAGTACACTTATGAGGTCTCTCTCCGGTGTGCACTAATGTATGTTTCTTCATATTGCAACTGGTTTGGAAGGATTTTCCACATATAGTGCACTTATGAGGTCTCTCTCCGGTGTGTACTAATGTATGTCTCTTCAAAACGTCACTGGTTTGGAAGGATTTTCCACATATAGTGCACTTATGAGGTCTCTCTCCGGTGTGTACTAATGTATGATTCTTCATTTTGCTACTGGTTGTAAAGAATTTTCCACATATAGTACACTTATGAGGTATCTCTCCAGTGTGCACTAATGTATGTTTCTTCATATAGTCACTGGTTGTGAAGGATTTTCCACATATAGTGCACTTATGAGGTCTCTCTCCGGTGTGTACTAATGTATGATTCTTCATACTGCCCCTGGTTGAGAAGGATTTTCCACATATAGTGCACTTATGAGGTCTCTCTCCGGTGTGTACTAATGTATGTCTCTTCAAAATGTCACTGGTTGAGAAGGATTTTCCACATATAGTGCACTTATGAGGTCTCTCTCCAGTGTGCACTAATGTATGTCTCTTCAAAATGTCACTGGTTGAGAAGGATTTTCCACATATAGTGCACTTGTGAGGTCTCTCTTTGTTGTGTACTAATGTATGTCTCTTCATATCGCTACTGGTTTGGAATGATTTTCCACATATAGTACACTTATGAGGTCTCTCTCCGGTGTGTACTAATGTATGTTTCTTCATACTGCCACTGCTTGTGAAGGATTTTCCACATATAGTACACTTATAAGGACGCTTATTAGAATGAATTAACAAATGAGTCTTAACATGATGTAGATTAATAAATATTTTCTCACAAGTTAAACATCTAAAGGGACGCTCGCCGGTGTGTAAGTATATATGAGGCTTCATATTTGATAGAGTTGAAATCAGTTTTCTACATATTGGACACTTAAGGCGAGGCTTTTTAGTGACCTTTAACATTTTTTTGTTTTCAATTTCCAACTTATAACTTATTAGACAAGCTAGAAACTAATTGAAATTAGTCAGCTGGCTTTGTATGTCTATTTTTTAGGAATTGGTGTTTAACAGTTATGTGTAACAATCAAATTTGATCAACTTTTTGATCAAATATTGTTATGTTCATTAAATACAATACAACACAGCCTACTTGAGGCATTTTTCTTGACTTTTATATTCAATCATATTAAATTAGGTGCCTTATTTGAAGAAAAAGTGATTTCTATTTTTTTCATGTTGTTTTCAAATAATACTGCATCAGCCATTAATTAAAATTCAAGTTTTACATAGTAAATTACTCACTTTCATTTGTACTTTTAGTGTAGTAAAAACTTAATCTTTTTAACTGCTATTTTAAGTATCTATAATACTTTGCAGATTAATTTTTTTGCTACATGAATTATTGAAGTTCCTTTTCCTCTTCAAATCTATTGCCTCTTCTGAAAACAGATCATATTTGATTAAATATAAATATTTTTGTTGTAATCATTAATTTAGATAGATTGTTTTTTCATTTAATCTAAACAATAATTTGAAATCAACAATTTATAGTAAATCCATAGCATAATTATAATGCAAAATTAAAATAATAAATGTAATTGCAGATAATATAACTTTTATCTAAATAGGTATGGTCTGGGTGTCCAAAAAGTATTTATTGGGTTTTAAAATACTTCATTCAACTGACGATACATGAATGGTCAACCTGTTTGCCAGATTTTTTCGCAATTTCTTTCTCTGGGGCTATGTGAATCACAGGGCATACATCCTGCTATTAGCTCAAACCTCTTCAATTTGTGAGAAAGTATTCACATTACAGTGACAACAGTAGAACAGGTTGTTTACCAACGTTACCAGCGGCCAATCCAACCATCAGGAAGTTTGTCATTTAAAAACATGGGCATTGCAGAGCGAGAGCCAATAAGGAGGAGCCCCATCCTGCTTCCACATGAAGTGCACTTATGGGGTCGCTCTTCTGTATGAACCAATGTATGTTGCTTCAAGGTCACAAAGTCTTCCATTCCATATCCTCTTCAGGTTAAGGTAACAACCATTGCTCCAACATGTCCGGAGTGCAATATCAGTGACAACCATATCAGTGAGAAGTGTCAAAAAGCAGAGTAAATGTGTTGGTTTGTAGCGAGAGTAATCCAGTGATAGATGCGGTAGCGGCTGGTGTTCATAGGTGGTGGGAGGGCTCTGCATATTTTTATATATGTGTGTGCCAGGGTGTGTGCTGGCGCCAACGAGCACGCTGGCGCGCGGGGCGTGCGTGTGACAGCTATAACGCGGTAAGAGTGTGTTTGTGTGTGTGGTTGTACGGCGAGACCTCTAGCGCTCCTAGCCTGACCAGTGACTGTACGGAACTACGTGGGCCAGCAACTTCGCCGTACAAGCAGCTCGAACATACCGAGCCCAATCCGGCGGAGAATCTACTAAGGGAGTATGTTTAATCTATGCCCAAACTCTGATGGATCTTAAAGGATGCCATTAACCTGAAAGTGGCAGAAAAATATTGTTTGGTGGCCGTGACATATTGGGACGTGTAATGGAAGAATTAAAGAAAATAATTCAAACCTACGTGAATCAAAGTGGACTTGCCTGATATTTTTTCTAAAATTAAACAAAGAATATCTGACATGGTAGCCTATTACAAAGGTTGTATTTTAAGAAAGGACGGTTTATGCGTACGCATATTATGTAGATCGCTTGTAAGCCGCAACGAGGCTCCTCAGGCACTTACAGCCATAATTTATGAACAACATGACATAATTTTCAGCTCTGTAGATGACATATATGCTTTACTGTGCGTTTTTTTAAATGTTTTTCATCATCGAAACTCCCTGTGCTTAAATTCTTGGGTGTGAATTGATGTATGTTTCATCAACCTGCCACTGGTTTTGAATGATTTTTCACATATAGTGCACTTATGAGGTCTCACTACGGTGTGTTCTAATGTATGTCTCTTCATACTGCCACTGGTTTGGAAGGATTTTCCACATATAGTGCACTTATGAGATCTCACTACGGTGTGTACTAATGTATGTCTCTTCATACTGCCACTGGTTTGGAAGGATTTTCCACATATAGTGCACTTATGAGGTCTCTCTCCGGTGTGTACTAATGTATGTCTCTTCATATCGCTACTGGTTTGGAAGGATTTTCCACATATAGTACACTTATGAGGCCTCTCTCCGGTGTGTACTAATGTATGTTTCTTCATATAGTAACTGGCTGAGAAGGATTTTCCACATATAGTACACTTATGAGGTGTCTCTCCGGTGTGTACTAATGTATGTTTCTTCATATTGCCATTGCTTGAGAAGAATTTTCCACATAAAGTGCACTTATGAGGTCGCTCTCCAGTGTGTACTAATGTATGTTGCTTCATACGGCCACTGGTTGCGAAGGATTTTCCACATGTACTGCACTTATGAGGTCGCTCTCCTATGTGAATTAATGTATGTTTCTTCATACTGCCACTAGTTTGGAAGGATTTTCCACATATGTTGCACTTGTGAGGTCTCTCTCCGGTGTGCACTAATGTATGTTTCTTCATATGGCCACTAGTTTGGAAGGATTTTCCACATATGTTGCACTTGTGAGGTCTCTCTCCGGTGTGCACTAATGTATGTGTCTTCAACTTGTAACTGGTTTGGAAGGATTTTCCACATATAGTGCACTTATGAGGTCTCTCTCTGTTGTGTACTAATGTATGTATCTTCATATTACTACTGCTTGAGAAGGATTTTCCACATGCAGTGCACTTATAAGGACGCTTATCAGAATGAATTAACAAATGAGTCTTAACATGATGTAGATGAATAAATATTTTCTCACAAGTTAAACATCTAAAGGGACGCTCGCCGGTGTGTAAGTATATATGAGACTTCATATTTGATAGAGTTGAAAACATTTTTCTACATATTGGACACTTAAGGCGAGGCTTTTTAGTGACCTTTAACATTTTTTTGTTTTCAATTTCCAACTTCTTACTTATTAGACAAGCTAGAAACTAATTGGAATTAGTCAGCTGGCTTTGTATGTCTATTTTTTAGGACAGTTACGTGTAGTCCTATTTTAAGAAAAAGTGATTTCTATTTTTTCATGTTGTTTTCAAATAATATTGCATCAGCCATTAATTAAAATTCAAGTTTTACATAATAAATTACTTACTTTCATTTGTACTTTTAGTGTAGTAAAAACTTAATCTTTTTAACTGCTATTTTAAGTATCTATAATACTTTGCAGATTAATTTTTTTTTTTTTTGCTACATGAATTATTGAAGTTCCTTTTCCTCTTCAAATCTATTGCCTCTTCTGAAAACAGATCATATTTTATTAAATATAAACATTTTTGTTGTAATCATTTAGATAGATTGTTTTTTTCATTTAATCTAAACAATAATTTGAAATCAACAATTTATAGTAAATCCATAGCATAATTATAATGCAAAATTAAAATTATAAATGTAATTGCAGATAATATAACTTTTATCTAAATAGGTATGGTCTGGGTGTCCAAAAAGTATTTATTGGGTTTTAAAATACTTCATTCAACTGACGATATATGAATGGTCAACCTGTTTGCCGGATTTTTTCGCAATTTCTTTCTCTGGGGCTATGTGAATAACAGGGCATACATCTTGCTATTAGCTCAAACCTCTCCAATTTGTAGGAAAGTATTCACATTAACAGTAGAACAGGTTATGTTTACTAACGTTACCAGCGGCCAATCCAACCATCAGGAAGTTTGTCATTTAAAAACATGGGCATTGCAAAGCAAGAGCCAATAAGGAGGAGCCCCATCCTGCTTCCACATGAAGTGCACTTATGGGGTCGCTCTTCTGTAAGAACCAATGTATGTTGCTTCAAGGTCACAAAGTCTTCCATTCCATATCCTCTTCAGGTTAAGGAAACAAACATTGCTCCAACATGTCCGGAGTGCAATATCATAGTGACAACCATATCAGTGAGAAGTGTCAAAAAGCAGAGTAAATGTGTTGTGTTATGTAGCGAGAGTAATCCAGTGATAGATGCAGTAGCGGCTGGTGTTCATAGGTGGGAGGGCTCTGCATATTTTTATGAATAAACGAAAGCCTAACATCATTAACGTTTGTAAGCGAACTGGAGAAGCTGTAAGGTTTAAATTTGTAATATAAACACTCATAGGCCTAGCCTGCGATATACATTAGAACTCCTGTTAACCAAATTCGGGTTTAACCGAAAACCGGGTTAACCAAAATGGTTCTATAGAATATACAGGGCTGTAAAATGTTTTAATAACTTCAGTTGTCTGTTTTAAAGTATTTTCTATCCCATTGTATCATTTTTGTAGCTGAAATAAAACACTGAATTTTATATACCGTACATTGTCTTAAATTCATTTTTCCTACAAACTGTGGCAATACATTGGCTATTTTTAGCATATGATGGGTTAACCAAAAAATCTGTTATCTGAAACGGCTCTCCCCCCTTTATTTGGGTTAACTGGGGTTATATTTATATATAACGGTATATTTTTCGGTATATTTATTTAAACTTGTTTCCAAGGCTCATATTGTAATTAACTTAATAACAGTGTCTGCAAATGGGTCCATCCTGAAAATAACATTAACAAAATAATGATAGTATTCCATAAAATATCTAAGGTAATAAGGAATAGTAAGCCAAATAAGTAAAAAAGTATAGAAAACAAATTTCATTTAAACTTATACCGGTAACCTTAACATATTGTACATCAAAACCATGTAATATTACATGTCATTCATTCATCATTAACATTAACCCTTTGCGGTCTCATAGCCATTTTAGAAAAGTGCCTCTCAACTCGAATGGCCAGCCCTGCTGGACACGGCTACGTTCTATATCAGCTTGTCATGTTTACACGGCGCAGTGCCTCACAGGTCGTACAGCCAGCACTGCTGGCCACTACTAATTTCCCCGTCAGCTCATCCGGCCAGTATAGGTGGCCATCCAACACACTTTTTTTAACATTGTTTATTAATTCTCCCGTAGGCTGCAGCACTAAACAGAGATAGTACCTCAATTCACAGAATATTAAAATTTTAGTTTGTAAGGTTTCCAGCTCTGTATTACGTCATTTTTACTGTAAAATAACCTCAACTGTCAGTGTGTTGTTGTCATGTGAAACTGTGATGTGAGGTTACATTTACCAGGATAAAATATTATTAATTGTGTAACTGTAGGATGACTAGAAAATGGTTTATACAATAATAAAAGAAGAATTCAATACTTTACTAACCAGTATCAATAAAACAAACTTGATTATTGCATCACTGCCTATGCGACATGACTTGCCAAAATTAGACAACAAAATTAGTAATATAAACTATTGGCTTGAAGAAAAATTGAACAACTCCGTAGAAAAAAGAAGACTACTAGAACTACACCTCTTGCCTCGGGAAATGTACGCAAATCATGGTTTGCATTTCAACAAAAAAGGTAAAAGCAAAATTTCTAAAGAAATCCTAAATATAATCCGTGACTGCTGTTTCAACCCAGCTCTATCCAATAACTTCAACATCCGACTGCCTTCAGATGAAGAACCCGTCACAGTTGTAGAGGCTGACATGAATAAGGTAATTCACAAGCTGCGAGACACCGAAAACACTGCCTTTGCCCACTGCATCTCTGCAGATGTAAATGATGACAGGCACATGAGCGCTGGGGTTGCAACTGCCTTCAAAAAACATTTCAAAAAACCATTGTCCTCAAACTTTGTAAATAACAGCCTTACCTGTCAAAAATTCAATAAAACCCTAGTTTATGGACTGGTTAAACCTAGATTTTTCTCCAAACCTAATATTCAAGATTACAACAATGCATTTGATACTCTCTTAAAGGATATTGAAAAAAACTGTCAAAAACTTTTGGTGTGTTCCCCGCTGGGTTGTGTTAGTGACAACATAACCATCGAACATTTTGCTACAAATCTACTGGAGCTACGCAAGAAAACGGGAGTCAAAATCATAGTGGTTGTGAAAAATGAATATTCCTCAAGAGTTCTACAAGGCGGACTTCCCTACGATGATTTTGTCAAGATGATCAGACAACAACTTTCTAATCCAAAAGACTCCAACACATCCGATCTAATCTGCACAACCGACCTTGACATCACAACTGGCCCTTCATCCAGTACCCCAAAGGTAGACAAGATGTGTTCTACAAGCCACTGGTCTCCTATTGTAAATAGTGTTTTAGCTGTAAATCATGTAAATAGTAATGCATCTCTGTCCAATGCTCTAACTCCAATGATAACTCTGTTCCCTCAAAAAACAAAACCGTAAACAAGACTATACAGACCACTTAAATGTAAACAATTTTTGTTTATTTTGCAATCAATTTCACAGTCTTACAAATGTAAATAGAGTATGGCCTATATGTAAAGAAATCAAAATAGATAAGAAATATAATTGGCTATTACATTTGAATATTCAAGGTGGTCTGATTGATAAGAAAATAGATTTAGAGGTGATTTTAGATAGCTCTAACATACTTATTATTTGCCTAAATGAACATTGGTTAAGTAGAGGAAATATTGATATTTTAAATAGTTTTGAAAATTATAATTTGGCACATTTTTATTGTAGAGATAACTGAGGTTATGGTGGTTCATGTATACTTTTAAATAATAAATTAGAATATAAAATTAGGGAAGATTTATGTATTTTTAATTCAGATTCTGAGTTTGAAATGTCTTATGTAGAGGTTATTGAATTAAAAATAATTGTCATATCTATTTACAGAGTACCGGATGATTCTAACTTTAAATTATTTTTAAATAAGTTTGAAGATTTATTAAGGATTCTGAACAAAGACAACCAAATTAATAATTTTTACATTGCAGCGGATTTTAATATTGATGTTTTGGAATACACAAATAAACCACAGCAAAGATTTGAGTTTCTTTCTCTAATAGAGACTTACGGTTTCATTACAAATTTAACTTCTCCCACAAGGATAACCAACAATAAAGCTTCTTGTATGGATAACATACTTTCACTAAAGTTAAAAACGTGTGAAGAAACTCCATCGATGAACCTAGAACTAGGTATATCAGGTCATCTGGCAATCTTTGTGGATATTTCTAGAAATATTTCATCTCAGCACAAAACTAATCTACCTCGGGTTAAAAGACGATTTTTTTCAAATAAAAATATTAATTCATTCATTTAAAAAATCAGTATTACTAATTGGCAAGTTTCACTAGATAAAATGTTTAAGGAAAACTGTTCAAACGTTTTTGGATGTTTTCAAAGAACTTTTGATGAATGCTTTCCTTTGAAATTTTTTTGTAGTAAAGTTAAACCTTCAAACAGACAAAAATGGATAACAAATGGTATTAAGATATCGAGCATTAAAAAGAGAGAGCTAAGTAGACTAGCAAAGCAGTCAAACGATATAAATTTTATCAATTATGTAAAACATTATAAAACGATCTTCAGTAACGTTTGTAAATTGTCAAAGAAAATGTATAATTCTAGTCTTATAAAAAATGCAGAAAATAAGAGTAAAGCTGCTTGGAAAATTGTAAAATCTGAGCTCGGTTGTAATAAACCTTGTCTTAATTTCCCTGATATTGTAATAGATAACAGTATGCCTATTAAAAATGGAAATGATATAGCTAGTTATAACAACAAAAAAGTTTATTGAACTTTACAATGATATAAGTATTACACCATGTGAGCAGGAAGCATTAATCTTAACTCAGACTGACTTTGATTTAAATCAAGTAAAATTTAGTTTCGCAAATGTGACTCCAGATGATGTGATTAAAACAATAAAGTTATTAAAAAATAAAATACCCCCGCCGCAGCAAACCTGCAGACTAAGCGAATTTCCATTAACCTGATTGGATTTACACTAAAATGCCTCCATAAAAATATCACATTTATTTCCTAATTAAATAGAATTAGTTAAACGAGTAATTAGGTTTGCTGCAACAGGGAGGGTAAAAAGGGGTTTTTTTTGTAAAATTTTAATAGTTTAGTAAGAAATTAAAGTTTTTTCCAAATTCGATCAAAATATGTTCATAAACAAGCAAACTACAACAGTTGACTTATTCTCCATAAGAATAACATGGGAATTTTAAATTTCGGATTTTTGTAAATTTTTCCGTAACCATTAGGCGCACAACAACGCTTCAATATACTAAATTATTTGTTTTTTTAAGCTCTACATAATGGTTTGGAAAGAAATTGTAAAATTTTGTGTTTTTAGGGTCAAATTTGGGAAAACCCTATTTTTACCCCATAAAACCCCATATAAAACCCTGTTCCCCTAGTCCGATCATGCTG